AAAATAATTGGAGACTAAGTTACATAATTCTAAAGAATTGGTGAATAAAATAACAAATTATAAAAAAGTAGAAATTTTCATTAAAAAATGACAATAATGAGACAACATACCAAAATTTATTGAATATAGGTTGTTAGCATAAATGTTATATCTCTAAGGGCATACAAATAAAAAAAATCCTTAAACAAATAAAAAAAAACACTAACTAAATAGAAAAGTAGAAATTCTGAAAATTAAAAAGGAGATAAGTGAAAAAATCATTGAATTGGTAAAAAAAAACCTAGTTCAGGTTTTTTTTAGAGAAAATTCAAATATATGAAAATATATTTATAAACATAATAAATCTATAATAGAGAAAAGTTATAGTCTTTTCCACCTAAGATCATGGCTAAAGCATGGATGCCTATTATCATAACTATTATTTAATGTAGTACTAGAAATGCTAGTTATAGCAAGAAAAAGAAACTGAAGGAATAAGGATAATCAAAGAGAAAATGTAGTTATCAGTTTTTGTAGGGGATATGATAATAATAATTTTATTGTATAATAATAATAATTTTAAAGTGCCCAGCAGAGTGGCACATAATAAATGTTATGTAAATGATAAATGTTAGTTATTATCGTTATTTTGAGAACCTTAGAGTGTCAAATGAAATTAATTAAAATAATTAATAGCTTCATCAATAATAATAATAATAATAATAATAATGTTAGAATTTACGTGGTGCTTTAAAGTTTACAAAGTGCTTTACATATGTTGTCTTAGATGAAATAACATATGTAAAGCAAAGATGCAGGTTACAAGATAAATCCACAGAAATCATCACCTTTTATACAAGTATCCCAAAAATTTTGGTGCTGTTTTAAGTTTTAATAACTCTGGAAGTATAAAAATAGAGAAACATAATTTGAAAGTTACAAAGTTAGAAAATCAACTAGAGCATAAGACAGTGTTTATGTTAAATTATAATAAGAAAAATAACAATATTTTTAAAAATCAGTAATTAACCTTTCAAATATTGCTTTTTGTAAGATTATAGTGTTCATACTTCTGAAGTTATTAAAGCTTAAAACCACTAGAAGGTTTTGGGGATGCCCTGCATATAAGCAACTGATTCCAATTTATCAGAAAAATAACCCTTCCCCAATAAACAACTGGTCAATAGACATGAACAGGCAGTTTTCAAATGAATAATTTCAAGTTACATGCCATCATATTAAAAAATGCTCCAAACCACTGATAATCAAAGAAATTCAAATTAAAGCAACTTTAAGGTTCCATGGCATAATGATCAGACTGGCAAACAGGAAGGGAACAAAAGTTGGAGGAGCTGTGGGAAAACAGGTTCACTTGAGTGCTGTTGGTAAAACTGTGAATTGGTCCAGCTGTGAATTCTGGAAAGCAGTTGAAACTGTTCCCAGAATGTTACCAAACTATGCATGGCCTTTCACTCAACTAGACCACTCCTAGGCCTTTACCTCAAAGAAAGAGCTCTTTTCATGGTAGCTAAAAATTAGAAACTAAAGGGATGTTCTCCTATTGAGGAATGGCTAAAGAAGTGGTGATATGTGAATGTGATGGAATATTATTGTTCCCTAAGAAAGGATGAAATGGATAATTTCAGGTGAAACTAAGAAGACCTTTATGAACTTACTCAGAGAGCAAATGGAGCAAAACCAAGAGAAGAATTCATGTGATAACTGTGTTATAGAGAATTACTTTAGAAGTCTAATCAATGCAACAATAAACCAGAAGTCTAAAAGAATGAAGATGAAACATGCCACTCATCTCCTGATTGAGATGACAGAGATGATCATGCAGAAAGAGACACATTTTCAGGTGGCACTAACATGGGAATCTATTTTTCCTAATTATGAAGATATGTATTGAGAGAATTTTTTTAGGGTTAATTTGTTAAAATTTGCTTCATAGGCATGAAGAGTAATGGGAGGGGGAGTGATATGGCTTTTTTTTTTAAGCTTCTACTCCAAAAAATGTTTAAAAGTAAATGAAAGGAAAAATAATTCTTCTTCCTATTTAAGTGACTAGGATCACTGTTTGCATGGATTCCCTAACACAAGGAGACATCTTTTAAAATTCTTTTTAGTAGCAATTCAACTTAATTTTGTCTACTCCAGGGGATAAAGAGTGGGAAGTTGGCTTCTGAAAGATTGTCGAAGAGGAACCTTAAGTTTTTTACTTAGTTATTATAAATATTATCAAAGCAGTTACTCATTCTACCCACACAAATCACAACCTCTCTTAAAACTGGCAAATTCTTGTCCATATGTTTCCATAGAGCCTTCATAGGAGATCTATCCAATGTGCTGAAGACTTTTCTCTGTTTAAATTTTATACACACACACACACGAATATATATTTCCATAAAAGCCTCCTCTTATGCCTCATTATAGAAGTGACTTTGAGTTCTCAAAGGTTATGTCAATGGAGGGTGACCTAGAATGGGTTTTCACAGGCTGAAAAGACTTTGAGTATAGCAATAGTAAGAGACCAAGTCTGTTTTCTGATGGCCAATCTAGCCAATCATGGAGAGACCTATTTCTAGGAGACTGGTCTCCTGGTGATAAAACTGTTGGCCATGGCAACTCATGAAACAGGGAAAAACAAAATGGCAGAGGACATGTGTGTGCCCCATTTATTTCTACATTGATAGTGGCAAAGCAGCAGAAAAGAAGACAGAGGATGGTAAGAATCAGTTTTCAGACCATCAACAAACTCAAATTTGACTGTTGGTACTCTGAACACAAGATCCTTTTCCAAAGACCCATATTCCAAATAGACCTATTACTGGAGGAGCTGTTGTATCAATCTTGACATTCTTGCTAGAAACAAAACCAGAAGGAAGAAGAGAGTTGCAGTTAAATGGAGGAATAGCTCATAAGTACTCCTTAGATGCAAAGAAAGAAGTTAACTAAATGTATTTAACTGTATACCCAAAAGCTACAAGAAATATTATTTCATGGGACATTATGTTACCACATATTGTGGTACTGTTGATGAATATTTGGGAAAAAAAGACTGTTATGAAAATAATTTCAAATTACACACCGTCATGAGTATGAAGTAGTAAAGAAATTCTGTGAAGAACTTGGTAGGACTATTAAGATCAAATCAATATATACTCTGATACTTGGTGATTTAGATGCAAAGGTGGGAGAAGGTGAGGATGGGGAGAAATACATGGGGAAGTTTGGTTCAGGAGAGATATGAGAGAGTTCTAGATTTACAGATTATGACTTACAGATTTATAAATTATTATTATTTATAGATTGAGTTATGATTATGCAGAAGCATTTTCTTTCAAAAAAAAAAGAATTGGTAGGCACTGGATATACTAAGCATCAAAAATGAAATTAACCACATTTTAACACATGGGAAAAAACAACATGGAGATGAAAGTTATCCAAGTCCTCTGTCTGTTTACAGTCAGACTATATACTCTTCAGAGCTAAGATCAGAATTTATAATTAATAAGATGAAAGAATAGTAATGAGAAAAAGACATAGCACTCAACTGAAAAGAATTAACCCTGAATTACTTAAACAGGATTTTGAAAGCCCAAAGTAGGAAATAGATAAGAGAACTGACATCAATATTAACTAGAATAATTTCATTTAGAAGTCAAACCAACAAAAATTAGTTGCCATAAAAAGGAAAACAAAAGAGCCTGGAAAATGCCTTAATCAGCAAACTTTTAATTTACGTTCCAAATAGTGAGGTGATGGCTGCCAAAGGCAACCCCAGGCTAGATTATAAACTCATTTGTAAAATCTTATGAAGAAAGATAATGGATGATTCATAAAGTAGAAAGAAGTAGTAGGGAGTAAAACCAGTCTAAAGAAAGCTTGGCAAGATATCCAACTAAGCCAAGTTAACCTAGTAGTAATCAACAGTAAAAAACAGAGGGAACACTGCAAACAGAAGAAAAAGGGAAAAGATTTGCAAAAATTATTACCACAAACTCTTTTCTTCATGCAAGATGGTGGAACCACTATGTTTGGACCCTAACATCACAGTTCTAGATCTCCTTATATAGGAGTTAGAAATGGTGCTAATGGGAATAAAGGTGATAAAAACAACCAGATTGGATCAAAGATATGAAGAGAATATCCAAGTTGGAGGTGATACAATCATAAGGGCATTGGGGGATCCAGATTGAGAACCCAATTTATGAAGTATTTAAAAGATGACAGGATACAAAAAGCATACACAGAATCCCAGACTTACTGATTCAAAAAAAAAAAAGATAACTGGAAAAACATGAACAACCACTGACAGCTGTTGTTGTTCCTTCATGTCCAACTCCTTACGATCCCATTTGGGGTTTTCTTGGCAAAGGTACCTAGAGTGGTTTGCCATTTTCTTCTCCTTTCTCATTTTACCAATGAGAAAACTGAGGCAAACAGGGTTAAGTGACTTGTCCAGAGTCACACAGCTAGTAAATGTCTGAAACGAGACTTGAACTCAGGAAGATGAGTCTTTCTCATTCCAGGTGTCCCATTCTATCCACTGTACTATCTAGCTGCTTGCACTAAACAGAGTCTTTATAATACACAAAGTGAAGGTACCTATAATGGGGGTACAATATTCAACGATGGGGGTCATAGCTTTATCATTTCACAATTGATCAAATGAGATAATATCTATAAAATGCTTATGCCTAACACACAGAAGGTACTTAATAAATTCTTGTTCCCCTCCCCCAACCATGATGAACTCAAAGATGTAGAGAATGTAAGATCACATTATACTTATTGTCTGTTGGTTATGAAAAAACACTCCACTCAGTAAAATAGTCAATATTATATATTTTTTTAAAGCCCTCTTATCTGCTGCTAGCTCATTGGGTTTTGTCTATAGCATTACTGTTTCTATCCCAGAGGATTGTACTGCCCAAGAATAGAACCACTCCCTTCTCCATGTTAACTCCATCCCTCTCTGTTCATCAAGTGAGAGTCTCTTTCTGTTTCCCTTTCAGATTTCAAGTCCAACTTCAGAGCGGCTCCAATCAGAGCAGTGGATGTTTATAATGTTCTGTGCAACTTGGCGGGGATAAGCCCACTGCCCAACAATGGCTCCTGGTCCCGAGTGGCGTGCATGCTAAATGGCCACCCCAGTGAGGCGCATTTGGTGCAGCTGAGCAGCTGTGCTCTAGCATTCCTTCTCTTGTTACTGTTTGTACAACAGATCTGATTCCTTGAGTCCCAAAACAATGTCGGTCACTGTGTCTCCAAAGTGGAAAGTTGTTGTTTTTCCCTCCTTTTGTATTTGAATAATAGCTTCATTAACAGATTCAAGGCTAGATAAATTACAACTGGACCATTTATGAGATGGTTATATACATACTCTCCTACACACAATTCTATTATTTTTGAGACACTTTTTTTTTTGCCTGGAGGTAGAGAGCATCTCAGCTGTCTCTAATTCATCTAGCTCTAAACCACTTGCTCTTCATACCACGAGACTCAAGATAAAACAACCAGCTGGGCAAAGGTCCTGGCATTTTGTCAACTGGACTTGGCACCTGTATTGTTTCTGTCTCCTGGGCCCATCTCTGCCATGTTTTCTTGCAAACCAATCCCTCCCAGGCTAGTCCTAGCCTGTGTCATGCTGATATGCAAGACCATTAGCTGGTATTCACATATCTAATCCAGCATTTATTTCTTCTACTCAATATCAGAAGAGGCCTAGCTCAATGCCAATTACTTTCTCTTGCTTCTAATCCAACTGAAGGGTCAATTGCTCCTACCAGAACCTTCCAGATGGGTCCTCCTTTGCATGGGTCCCTTTGCCCTTCATCATTTAGGTGAAAAGTTTGTGAAATCCCAGAACAAAGCAAAGTGACTGGTTTATCCAAAGACTGAATTTATCAATCTCTCTAGTGCTGGGTAGCAGAAAGTCACGTTAGAAATGAGCTATTATGAAGAATCAGAATGTAACAGGCCCATAGCAGTGATTCATTCCCTTGCCCAGGATAAGCCCTGGATAAAGATTTGCTGATATGCTTGCTCAATGGCAATGCCATGATGGTGCCTGTTTAAAAAAGACTGCTTCCTCCTTAGAGTTTGCTCTGGTAAGTAAGAGAAGGCATGTATGTTATTCCGGGGTAAGCAATGATATTCTTAGTCATGAATACATGGGCACATTACCAAAAAACTCACATGAAGAGAATTCTTTTTTAAGCTTCCACTGGAGATCATAAGTATGCCAATAAGCATTTATTAAGTGCCTACTGTATGCCAATGAAAGGCAGCATGGAGTAGGTGACAGAGAGCTGGCTTGTAGCCAGGAAGACTTGTCTATAACACATACTGAACTGTGTGACCCTGGTCCAGTCTTAGTGTCCAACACAGCTCTAAGACTTTGTTGCTAAGAAAGCACCAACTTTTACTGATAGTTTCTTCAATATTAGTGAAACCCCATATCCCATCCCTATGTGTCAAGCACTGTGGATACGACAGAAGACAAAATACACACTGTGGAAGATAGACTATGGAAGACAAAAGTGAAACAGTTCCAAGTTGTTGGGGTGTTTTTTCAGTTGTCCATGTTCATGCAAATCATATCACAACCCAGAATGCCAAAGGAATGGAGGAGGCAGACCAGGTGCATGTCAGCTAGTCAACAAAACATCCCTTAATTAGGCAGCAAGCATAATGAACCCACCTCCCGCCTTGCTTCTTTGGAAATCTCCAAGACTTGATGGACCAGGAAACACTCTTCTGTTACTGTTTGTATAACTGGTCTGATTCCTTGAGTCCCCAGAGACTTAGTGGAACAGATAACAAAGAGCCTGAGTGGAGATATGTTGAGTTTCTTCTCTAAAAATTTACTGCCAGAGATCTTGAGATTTTTCATTTTAAAAAGGCCTAGTTGGACATTTTCAAATGCCAGGAGTGACGGATTTCTGTCTCATTGCATTATGTAGAAAAGCCACGTGACTGCACCATAGACTGAGCCCATCTGAGAAGGTGACTTTTCATCTGGCTCTGGCCAGCCATAAGATGCCTCAGGAGAGAAAGAACCTGCACAATGCTCACCTTGGAAGACAGTTCTTCTTCCTCATCTCAAATCATGTGACCTGGGGGTTGTCTTCATGCCATGAGGTATAAGAGTAAAGATTCATAGCTTTAAAAAATTCAAATTAATCTTCACAGATAATTTCTGTAACCTCAGCAAAGGTTTTTGTAATGTGTTTTTAAAGCTCCAACAACCATCAAGTCAATTGGAATGAAGGCAAATCAACCTTTGTTGTCTGGATTGATTTATTTTCTTTTTTGGACTAGACTTATGATATCAATGGTATAGGGCACTCTCGATGTGGAAACCCCCTCCACCAGTGCTGATCAGTTCCTCCTCCACAACAGATGGTCTTAGAGAGCTACCTGGGAACATTGGGAGTCTCAGTGATTTTCCCAGCATCACACAGAGAGGGGATTTGAACCCAGGTTTTCCTTACAGAGAAACTAACTTTCTCCCCCCTTTCCCACACCGTCTCTTGTGTTCTTTGGGAACAAAAGACATTTTAGTGCTTTGAGAGTAGCTATTTTTAAAAAATTCATTTTTCTTCCTTAACGGACAAAGTTCTAATGAATTCAGCTAAGCACACATTTTCCCAAGTTAAAGAACTATCCATATGGAAACAAAATAAATGTCAGGATGCAATATCATGAAGCTGTATAAATCTATACAGTTTCACCTCTAGCTCTTTTCTATCTCGCCAAATTCTTCCCATCCATAGAATCTTAAACTTAGAACCCAAAGTTTCTGATAATGCCAAATAGAGGGAATGGGAAAATTTAAAAGACCATGAATGATGCTAAGACTGAAAATTAATACATAGACAAATGTGTTTGTCCTTGCACTATTTAACATTTTATATCAGTGATTTGGAGATAAAAGATGGCTTGCTTTTTAGAATTGTAGATGACACAAAATCAGGAAGGACAGTTTACCCACTGAGCGATAGAGCCAGGATCCCAAAAGGCCTCAACAAGACAGCATGTTGGGCTCTGTCTAGCCAAAGGAATAAATGTAAAGTCTTATACCCGGGTCCCCCAAAAATCAACCTCAGAAGTACAAAATGGGGGAGATGGCTACATAGCAATTCATTTGAAAGGTCATACATTCCATGAAATCTGCTCAAAGATGAGTCTTACTTTGAAACATGTAAAAGTATTTGTTTTCAAAATTATTTCAATAAGATTTAATTTGTGATTTCCTTGATGTGAGTTTATCACAATTCCTCCACACCTTCATAGACAGTTTTGCAAGTTGCCGAGGCCTTCCAACAATGTATTGAATGATGACAAAACCCCTGGAGATGAACAACCAAGCCAGTCATTTTACAATAGATACATAGTTTATCTTGAGGTACACAGACTTTCTAGGTTGGCAAGATGTGCGACAATTTTTGCAACACTGGTATAATCTTTTAGAACCCAAGTTCCCCCAAACAATGTAATGAGGCACCAGAGTAGGACTTAAATGAAGTATGTAAACACAGAGATCTATACTATTTTTTTTTTTGCCTTTTTTTTTGGGTGAGGCAATCAGGGTTAAGTGACTTGCCCAGGGTCACACAGCTAGTAAATATCAAGGTCTGAGGCCGGGTTTGAATTCAGGTCCTCCTGACTCCAAGGCTGGAGCTCTATTTACTGAGCCACTTAGCTGCCCCAGAGATCTATACTATTGAACATTTTTTTATCGATGACTCAAAAAGAAACAGATGGAATGTTCATCAAATTAGTAACATTAAAGTATGAAAGAAGAAGGGAGGGAACAAGCATTTATTAAGCATCTACTATGTGCCAGAAACTGTGATAAGCACCTTTTACAAACATTTCATTCCATCCTCACTATAACCCTGGGAGGTAGATGCTAATCTTATTCCTGTTTTACAGTTGAAGAAACTGATGTCAATAGAGCATAAGTGACTCATCCAGGGTCTAAGGCTAGATAGGAACTCAAATAACGCTGGCGCCAGGCACAGAGCGCTAGCTGTGCTGCTACTTAGTTGCCTCACTAACAGAAGGGTAAGGCTACAATATAAAGTAGTATTTATATAGTGTTTGAAGATTTGCAAAGCACTTTACAGATGTCATCGCATTTTGTTCTTACAACAGCCCTGTGCGGTAGGTGCTATCCACTTTACAGAAAAGAAAACTAAGAAGAAAACTAAGTGTTGGACTTGGTGTGAAGAACTGAGTTCAAATACTACCTCACATGCAGCATGTACAGCCACTGTACTCCCTGGAGGAGAATTTTGACTCAAAACAATTAGAGATCACTAATATGTTGGATAACAGAATCAGGGTACAAAATATCAAATACAACATGGAGGAGACAATATCTAGACAGAAGTTCATCTGAAAAAGATCCGAGAGCCTTAGTGAAGCTTATTATGAATCAACACTGTGATACAACAGTCAAAAAATGCCTGTGTGATCCTGGGCTGCATTAAGACAGGAAGATTTTCCAAAAGTAGGATGTAAACATCCCACGGTGCCTTGCCCTGTTCAGACAGCATCTGGAGTATTGTTTTCACTTATGAAAGCCACATTTTAGGCAGGATGTTGAAAAACCACAATCTAGAAGAGGAAAGCCCAGGTGGTGAAGGGCCTTCCAGATCATGTCACATGAGGCTTAGTCAAAAGAATCAGGAATGTTTATTTAGCTTGAAGATTTGTGTGAAAAAGGGATTGGACTTTGCCTACTTGGCCCCAGAGGGAAGAAAGAAGAGTAACAGGTTGAAATGGAATAGAAGCTAATTTAGGCTTGATGTCAGGAAAGGACTTCCTAATAATTAGAGCTGTCCCGAAGTGGAATAGGCTGCCTTGGGGGAGAGTGGTTCCTCCGGCTGAAGGTCTTCAAGCAGCAACTGGCCATCCACCTGCACGGCACATTCTAAGGGGAAATATGAGCCATATGTAGGCTGAATTAGATGGAGGCTGAGGATTTTCCCAACTCAAAACATCTGTGATTTCCTGATTTCAAAATCAGATTATGCTGATTTATCAGGGACAAATATGGTCAGTTCTTCACCATTGTTTATCCAGATTTTGTATGAACATCTTGGGACAGTTAGGTGGCTCTGTAGATAGAGCACCAGGCCTGGAGTCAGGAAGACTCATCTTCATGAGTTCAAATCTGGCTTCAGACACTTACTAGTTATGTGACCCTGGGCAGGTCACTCAATTTACAGATTTTCTCTGCCAAGGAAAACCCCAAATACGGTCATAAAGAGGTGGACACAACTGAAGCATCTCAACAATAGCAACAAAAATATACATCTTGCTTTTTTCCAGGCTGCTTGTACTCATCGTTGTATAGGCATAGAAGAAAGAAAATTATGACTACATGAGCAAATAGTGGAAATGGACAGGAACTCAAGGGTAATTCAACACCAAGTAGACCCTATGAACAAAACTGACCACTTTTCCTGCCTTTATCCCTACCCCTAATTATCCTCAAACATGGAGGTCTAGACCACGGCAGACTTGAAATATCTATTTTGATTTAGAGTAACTCTCAATCCCACAGAATTTAAAAGAACCCTGGAAAATTGGTCAGCTTGAGCTATTCCAAGGCTTTGGGTGGACTAAAGTGTTCAGTTTAATTCACAAAGTTCTGAAGCCTTAGACCTTTTATACCCAGTCCATTTTCTGGCCATTCATCTGACCTAGACTTCCGACTTTGGCTTAAACCAAAGTTTCATGGTCGCTTCAGACCAAACTATACCTGGACACATTCCTGGAACTGGGTCAAAATGAAACGCAACTATGAGAGTAGAGACACCAGTGAAGCTTGGGAGAGGCTCTCAGGCAAGTCAGCAATTTGCTTCAATAAATTCTACTTTCTGTTGACCCATAATTCTAAGTGATGCTATCAATAGAGATTAGGGCACCATGCAAAAAGGGACAATTAATTATTTTAGGAGTCTCCTAGGAAAACATCTTGAATTTTTGTAAATACTAATAGATTTCCAAATAAACCCTGCATATTTAATCTGTTACCATGGAAACCAAAACCAGCCACAGCAGAGTACCTGTTTTAGTACCTAAAAACAAGTTGGAGAGGGTTGGCAGGGCAACCTTAAGAGCTGTTGGATCCTACTCTAAAGAATTTGCCATGGAAGGAGATTGATATGGCTAGAAGATGGTGCTTTTGAAATAATCAAATATTGCTCAAATGGTGCCTCACACATAGATGGTGTTCAATAAAGTCAACAAATCAATAAGCATTTATTAAGCACCAATTATGTGCCTAAGGCAGGGGTGGGTAACCTGGGACCTAGAAGCTACATATGGCCCTCTAGGTCCTCAAGTGCAGTCCTTTGACTGAATCCAAACTTCACAGAACAAAGAGGCCTTGAGGCCACAGGTTCCCCACTACTGGAAGGGAACAAAAGAATGAAATGAAAGAAAATAGTAGAATTTTAATAATTTAAGGTATCCTTCTTAAACCATAAATAATCTACCTGTATTACCACATCCATCCTAAAGTATCTAAATTTAAATCACATTTTCATTTGTTATGTTTTCTTGTCATTATTTTCACATAACTCTAATATATTATAATTAAATACCATGTATAATTATAATAATCCTTACTCTATTGACTAAATCACTTTATTGACCAGATAGAATATTTTTATGAAAAGGTGCATGTGAATCTTTGTGAAAAATGTAAATTCTATTTATATGTGCTTAGAGCATTTTTTTTTAAAAAAAATAGCTGACATCTGCATAAGACTTTAAAGTTTCCAAAGTGCTATATAGACAACATATTTGATCCTCACCACCACCTTTTGAGGCAGGCACTAGAGTTATTGTCATCCCCATTTCACAGATGAGGAAACTGAGTCCCAAAAAAGTTAAGTGTAATATGGAAATATGTTTTACATGACCGCACATATGTAACCTATATGAAATTGCTTACCATGTTAGGGAGCTGTGAGGGAAGGGGAAAAGGGAGAAAATTTGGAACTCAAAATTTTATAAAAATGAATGTTTATAAAAAAATGAAATTTGTCTTTATATGTAATTGGAAAAAAATAAAATACTATTTAAAATAAAATGAAATTTTAAAGAAGTTGAGTGACTTGTCAATAATCACATGGCTAGTGTCAAAGGGTAGTTTTGAATCCAGATCTCTTCTGATTTCAGGGCCAGCATTCTTTCAACTATATATCACAACCTTTTAGAAAGAAGGATCTGTTTATTAAGCAAATAATGACTTCCTAACTTAT